CATCTATTTTAAGGCTTTATTTTAATACATTTTAAAAATATAACTTGAAAATTTTGCAATTGCAACTTTAAATGTTTCCGTTTTATAAAATGACAGTCAAAACATTTTATCCTCAACTTAATAGTCAATAAGTAACAATTGCCCATTAATTATCTTAATCTATCCCGAGATTATTTCCTAAATTATAGCCATATGCAACAGATTAACACACGTGTATACATGTTCTCTGTTATAAATTAATTACCTACATAATATGTGATCATAGACTATTATAACTTTAGGCAATTAAAACCACCGAGTTACTGTGTAAATATGCATAAATTGTCCAAAACTATTTTTTCAGTCTACAATATATTGTATATCACTGTAATTCCGATAAACACAATTATCACAAACTAGTGCATTTCAAGTACAACACAAAATTAATATTGATGTGAACACACATCTATTTTAAACTAAATATTGTTACAATTGTCAGCGTGGTTACTGATGCCTAGAATTTAGCTACTTCATGAAAAAGTTTTCGATTAAAGATACATTATGTAAGATTTAGATGAGCTGACCGTTATTGCTATAATAGTTAAAAAATAGATAATGCAAAATGAATATATTGAAAGTTTCATTCAAATTACTATATTCTGGGCGAAAATATTAGCTTTTTTAAAAATGTATAACAAGATGTGTGCACTGATCGTCATAACCATACTGGTTTTTCGAGACTAAGCCTGGCGTCATCAGTCTTATGGTAAATTATTAACTGGCTGAACCGTTCTAATCTACTTAAAATCAGACCTATCCGATGGCATCGAGACTTGATTTTGGTCTAATCGTGTTAATTAATAGTTTATGTAACACTTAAGGCTTAAGGAAAGATCTGCACTAGACAGATTTAGCTCTTGCATAATGCCTGTTTAAGTAACTAAAAGCCAAATACGTAGATATATTGGGTATATATGGGACAACATCAATATCCATAGGCCGACCAGAAGTTCAGTGCATTATTTGATCCCACAAACTACCACATGGTGTTTGGAAAAGTATGAATTTCGAAAGGAACAGAGTCGATATTCAGTGGTTTCATTATTCATTTTACCTCTTGTAAATGGCCATCGACTTTCCGTTTTTTTTTTTTCGAAAAGGACTATTGAAAGTTTTTTCAACAAGCGGTTAATCCAAATTATCTTTAGTCGCGATATTATAACATAGTATGACATGCGCTATCCAGAGTAAATGATAGTGTACGTTATGCATAATGTATGATATATTGACATTCTGCTGTGTCTATCATAAACACTGATCAGGTGAAATCTGAAACACCTGTACTGTCTACATAATGAGATCCAATGTTAACTAGGCTAAATTTAGATGAAATGTCCATTAAAGAAGTTTATTAGCACGAACACTGGAGCATTTTCGCAACTAAAGACATATGCATGATGCTAATAATAAACGCCATAAATTGTTCCGGATATCCATAAATCTTATCCTTCATATATTACAGCTATCATAGTACATTATAATGCACCATATAAAACTGTTTTCTGCCGCCTGACTCGGAAATCTTAGAAAACATGCGCCAAGTGTATTTTGAGTCATCTGTCGGGCTTGCACACTCCGCTTGAGTTTGCTTTCCTATCGGTTCTTGCATAAGATTTACTGTTTAGCGTATCTTTGCTTTAGTGTCTTACGTTTAATTTGATCGGGAGATGTGTTTGTCGACAACACTGCAAGAATTGGTCGTGGCACTGCAAGAGGGGTGGGTCAGATTGCCCCAAATCGTGATTGGATGATTGGTTAGGAGCATGCCACGACGAATTGCTGAATGTCTGAGGATTGGTGGAGCAATTACTCATTATTAAAACAAAAATCAAAAACGTCCATTTTCACTTTTGACAGTGTATCTCTTTGCGAATGAAATGGAGGCCGTCAGATAAGCCGCCCATATGAACTGTTTATGTTCATGTGTAGGCAATTGACCTGTTATTAACATTCACTGGTTACCTCTAATAAAAACAGCAGTACATTTCCGCAGTTTTGTATTGTTTCTGAATATCCCCTTTATTGTTTTTTTTTCAAATGGAACAAAGTTAATTAGGCTGTACTCAACCCTATAGAAAGACCCCAAAATACGGGTATTAATATCAATACGAAATTACTGGAAAGTATGTTTCTTTATTTTGGCTCTTTGAATCTATCAATTATTTCCTGGCGCATTCAGGATTATGCACGGTCGTCTAGATAGTTTCTTATAGTGTGCCAGCTTGATTTACTGTTATCGTGCGGTGAATATCCTTGTAGTGTGCTGGTTTATAGTGTACCAGGTTTCCGTATGTGTCAACAAGTCACGTGATATCCTACGTTTGCATTTGAAAGTTGATTCTGTGCGAAAGATGCTATGTAGAAAGCGTGATGGACAAATGAGAGGTGGCAGAGCGCAAATGTAAAATGTAATGTAAGAGATGTAAAATGTAGACACGTCAATAAAAGCATTTTCCAACAAAACATGTCATTTGACACTTAACATTAATTGACGTTATACATTTAACTCTTGCCTTAGAGGTATTATGACTTTATCATTATCGGTATTAGGACTTTGTACATTGTACTTTTTATACGCCCACATTTTCATGTGGACGTATATTGTCGTCGCCCCTGTCCGTCCGTCCACGATTGTTTGTGAACAGTCTACGGGTCACAATTTTTATCCGATTTCAATGAAACTTGAAATATAGGTTTATCCCCCCAAAGATCTCGGTTCCTTTTAATATTGGCATGTATCGGACTGTAACTTCATGGATTATGGCCCCTGATTTTACGAAAAATCACGTTTTTAGCTTGTTCTCTATCCATCTCTCGAAAATGTGGGCGTATCCTGCCTGAAATGTATGCTTATAACTTCCTGAATTATGACCCCTGATTTTACGAAAAATCGCGTTTTTAGCTTGTGGACCCTATAGAGGTCATAATTTTTATCCGATTTAAAAAAACGTATTATTATATCACCGTTACACCCTAGGGACGGCTGAGTTCGAATTTCGTGAAAATCGGCCCAAAACTGACAGACAAAATGGCCTCCCTTCGTTCTCAAATAGCGTAAAAATATGGTATATCAAGGTTGTGGACCCTATAGAGGTCACAATTTTTATCCGATTTTGTTGAAACTTGAAATGTAAGTTTATAACCCAAAGATTTCGGTTCCTTTCGATATTCGCGCATATCGGACTGTAACTTCCTGAATTATGGCCCCTGATTTTACGAAAAATCGCGTTTTTAGCTTGTGGACCCTATAGAGGTCATAATTTTTATCCGATTTAAAAAAACGTATTATTATATCACCGTTACACCCTAGGGACGGCTGAGTTCGAATTTCGTGAAAATCGGCCCAAAATTGACAGACAAAATGGCCGCCGTTCGTTCTCAAATAGCATAAAAATATGGTATATCAAGGTTGTGGACCCTATGGAGGTCACAATTTTTATCCGATTTTATTGAAACTTGAAATGTAAGTTTATAACCCAAAGATCTTGGTTCCTTTTGATATTCGCGCATATCGGAACGTAACTTCCTGAATTATGGCCCCTGATTGTACGACAAATCGTGTTTTTAGCTTGTGGACACTATAGAGGTCATAATTTTTTATCCGATTTATAAAACCGTATTATTATATCACCGTTACACCCTAAGTACGGCTGAGTTCGTTTTTCATGAAAATCGGCCCAAAACTGACAGACAAACTGGCTGCCGTTCGTTCCCAAATAGCGTAAAAATATGGTATATCAAGGTTGTGGACCCTATAGAGGTCATAATTTTTATCCGATTTTGTTGAAACTTGAAATGTGAGTTTATAACCCAAAGATCTCGGTTCCTTTCGATATTCGCACATATCGGAACGTAACTTCCTGAGTTATGGCCCCTGATTGTACGAAAAATCGCGTTTTTAGCTTGTGGACCCTATAGAGGTCTTAATTTTTATCCGATTTAAAAAAAACCGTATTATTATATCACCGTTACACCCTAAGGACGGCTGTGTTAGAATTTTGTGAAAATCAGCCCAAAACTGACAGACAAAATGGCCGCCCCTTGTTCTCAAATAAGGTAAAAAAAATATGGTATATCAAGGTTGTGGACCCTATAGAGGTCACAATTTTTATCCGATTTTGTTGAAACTTGAAATGTAAGTTTGTAACCCAAAGATCTCGGTTCCTTTCCATATTTGCGCATATCGAATTGTAATTTTCTGAATTATGGCCCTTGATTGTACGAAAAATCACTTTCTTTTTTGCTTGTTCTCTGTCCATCTCTCGAAAATGTGGGCGTATCCTGCCTGGCAGCCGCTGGTTACATATTATTAATGGAAACGACATTGTCGCAGAGCAGTTAACATTGGCAGCGATACCCTTCCATACATTCATCTTGGATATGAATGATATTCACTGCGCATTCAGTGTGGCGCTTTTTATTTTGAATTCAATCCGAATAAGTTGTAATATGACGCACCGCTTTTAATTCGGGACAAACCAATCCGAATTCCGGAGGCCGGTCTCCGGAATTCGCATTGAATGCACATGCAGTGTGAACGCAGCTTAAGATTCAGTTCGGTTGTTGGCGAATTGAGGGTGACGCCTAAATCCGGAATAAGACTATATTTTGAATTCAATTCTGATTAAACCCCCATTGTATACGCACCGAATATATTCTTTGTCGGGGAAAAACTTGTGAACACGATAGATTAGATATGTTGAAATATTCTAGGCCCTTATTAAATTTGATAAACATTGAAGTTTTCCTTTCGGGTAAGCTGCTGTTGAGATAAAGCTGTTGTATGTGCGTATGTATCTCATGAAAAGCTCCAATCCAATTCTTTGTTCTATTTTACAATCCAACAGACCGATTAATCGTGATATTTTCTGAGTACCCTGTGTTGTCGAAAATAAAGATAGTTATTTTGTTGTTGGTATGATTTTATTTACGGCTCAAGATGTTATTTCGGTATCATTGGGAGATTTGTACATTGATTTGTCTCCCAATTCATGCAATTAAAGATTTATCAAAAGTGAACAAACAATTTTGTTTCAGCATTATCTGTAGATTTGTACATTGATTTGAACAAACTGTTTGCCTTAAGTGGTACCACTTCTCTTGTAAAAAAAACCCCCAACACTTTGGGATTGTGCATAGCCCGATACAAATATGTATATTAACTCGCTTTTCGAGACTAGTATCTAGTCTTAATCATACATCCTTAAGTACACGACAATGTCTAATCCAAAGGTGAAAGATGAACTGGTGTCAAATAGATCGTCTGGTCTTCATCTTGAGAAATACTTGTGACGGGATGATTAAATGAATCATTCCGAACATGTCCAGCCTTTTTCCTTATTGTAAGTTTCAGATATCCATCAGCATCAGTGTCTGATGACGACTGGCTAGAGTTGGTTTGTTCTAAAATAGATTCTGATCGATCATCAATATTTGTTGATTCAAAGCTGAATTCTTCATTTTCAGAAGATCGTGGACGTGTTACATGCTCTGCAGTATTATCACTATTGTGAAATTCGTACGGTTCTTCGTACAATGTTTCAGCTCTGTTGTTGGTCGTTGACTGTTCATGTCGTGTATGCTGCGTTCTTCTATAACCTAGAGAATAAAAACTCACATTACGACAATTCAGTTATATATATATATGCATCAGATTTTCAGGCATTGTGATCATCACAAACAAGTGTTTGGTAGAATAAAATTATTTTATACTATGCGCATTTCTAATCATTTTTGCGCTACAGTTTAATTTTCCAAGTCATAAGAAATATCTTGAATCCATTACATTGAGGAGTTCACAGTCACTTGGGATATATCAATAATGGACGCATGACCTTAATTCAGTAATCATTACTTACGGATATATACGTATCCAAACAGAAGAACTGTCACGAAGAGGAATAAGGAAGGTAAGAGAATAAAGAGTATCTTCATGAGCAGGCCCGTAGAACCCAGTGGAGTAGCACTAACTGTATCTAAAAATTACAAAAAAATTCTTGGTCATGAAGCAATCCGATAATTTCAATATATAATGCAATGGAAGCGATTGTGGTGAAAACAATAATTTTATCGGCATCAATTCAAAATCTATTAATATAATACAACGTTATTGGTGATGGTAACAAATATATTTATAATATAAAGCTGGTTTAGGCCGTGGACTGGGCAAGATAAAATGGCCTAGATCTTTACTCTCGTTAAAACGCCTGGGACTGCCTTTTCAATTTTTTAAATTGATAGATACGGCAAAAATGATGTTAACTAACACACTCCACATTTCGTCGAAAGTGTGTATAATATTTATAACATTATCTGAATAAGAATTATATTTTTTCTCGCCACAACACAAAGTTGCTACGCGGTCAAGTAATTGACTAATGAAACTTGTTGGATTGCGGCATGTGAATATTAGTCACGTGATCATTTTTTATAAACAGAGCCGTGATCGGTTTAACTAAAATAATTATTTCTTACGGCTGGTTATTGCCATTTTAGGCTTTGTGGAAACGGTGTGTCAACAAGGATTGGTAAGAAATTGATTCAGGATAATCGGGCACACATGAAACCGTAGAAACGTTGAATTTGAGCTTTAAACTCAGTGCAAATAGCGTCATTACGGTATTATCTATGCGTACACTCACCGATAAGATAATCATGCAGTTTTCAATAATTGCTGGGGAAGGCCTGGGAACATATGGCTCAGAGCTATAAAGCGTTATTTATTTTAATTTGACATAACTCTTAGCTGACCAAAACAAATTTTTGTGGTTTGGAGAGGGGTCAAATGAACCTATGAGTCCCCAAACTATCATTTCCATCAGGTCATAATTACATTAGGCCTCTATACTAAAATTTAATTTCTCATCATTTTGTAAAATAAGTTGGTGCATGGCAAACCAACATAAATATGCAGATTTGAAGAAATGTTCGATCAACCACTGGTTATTGCTCGTGTCTAAGATTGACAGGCAAAACAATGCTACATGTTGGTGAAGAGAGTATAGCAATTGATATCCCCTAAAGGCAATGCACAAAATAAGACCAAAAACATTGTTAATTTTGTATTTATTAACAAGCCCAACAGGGAGATAATTCTAGAAAAACAGTCACAACAATAACAATGCATAATAGTATGTTTGAAAGATCTCAAATTATTTGCGACAGCAAAATCCAATTAAGACGGGAAATAACATTTTTCATAGAATGCCTATGGATTGAAGCCTGATAGTTACGGCATCTTTAGTTGGTGGGGAAGAGGGGGGGGGGGTGTTCAGAAGAATTTTTAAGCAGAATGATTTATATCTGGCACTGTGCACACTATTAACTTTCTGTATATACAAATCACAAACAAATTCTCCTAAAGTGATATGAGGGTTTCATCGAGGATGAATCTACTTCCAAGTTTTATGAAGGCTTGAACGTATTTCTGATTCCTAATCATTACTTCATAAGGCTTTTTCTAGCCTTTTCCTTGGAAGCAGCTTTTTGAATCACAGCCAGTGAATGTATGAAGTCCAACCAAGGCTAATGGAATTTCACGCCCAAGTGACTGAAACACTTTTAGTAAGGTTATTATTCGACTTCTATTTTTTCCCCGGTGTAAAATAACAAATTTGCCATAATGTCCACAATAATGGAAAGTTAAATATGATTGCCACATAATATCAGGGCTTTTGATAACTATGTCTGTAAACATCGGAGTAGAAGCATGGTTAGCATGGAGAATAAGTTTCTTCCTCTTCATGATCCGGAATAATTCAGAAACAATCTCTATATTTAGGACATCATTATCAGCACTTAATTTGGTACATAAATTTCCATGGGTAACATACAGATTAATTATACCTGGTGTAGAAGACTCTATAGTTTGCCAAGGGCCTCCTTGTTTGTTCCATTACTAAGAAAACTTGATCACTGCTGTGGAATGTTTTGGTCCTTGCTGTAAATTTTGACACCTTTATTAGCTCGTCTACTGCACTCGGCATTCTTGATGCTTATAACTGGGCACTGATCAAGTTACATTGTGGTAGAAGATGTGACGAGTTGAGAGACTATTTTTGGTGTTGCTGGTGCGGCCCTTTTCAAGGCTCTCTTTTCCAAACGTTAGACCCATTGCTTATCACAGGAGCGAGATAGCATTTGAAGTGGTAAGCATAAATCTTCAATAATTCTTCTTTTGAGCCTACAAAAAGTTAAAAATTACAGCCAACTTGTGAATAAAGTTTATATTTCGAAAAAAATAAATGCATGGCCTAATTTTCAACATTTTACAGTATCTGGTCAGTATGAATTAGATCTCCTGCAATATCAAAACAAGTTTAGACATTGGGTCAAACATTTATTGTTTCCAAATCCATATAATTTATTACCCTGTATTTATTGTATATTTCGTGCAATTATATATTAAATATTGTTTAAGCCTAACATGTATCTGTGTGAATTAGGCATAGACGTAAAGAATAAAATCCGTTGTCATTTCATTGTAAGAGAGATAGACAGAAAAGAAAATTATTTTAAGCCTACTTTACCTTCAAACACATCACGATAAGAAATGGCAATTTTCTCCTCCTCTCCTTCTTGATTGCTTGGTGGGTAAAGCACTTCATAATTCGTTAAAACTCGCGTAATGACGATTTTTAGGATTGCTGATTGGCTGATATCCCGGGACCAGGACGTTTAGTTGCAAATTCTTCCAACCTTTTCACCGGCGCATTACTATGGTGGACGGTGGTAAAAATGACCAAGTCCGCGAAAACAAAATAATTAAAAGCAATCACTCATGGAAAGCGAGGTGTAAACAACTGTCATTATTCATTTTATGTATTTTTAAATTACTCAGTGCAGAAAAATTACCAGCACTATAAGCGTAAACAATAACTCGCTCCAGTCCACGACCTAATTATTTTTATAGTTTGAACCATAATATCTATAAACTGGCTATTGGTGATGATAACAAGTCTATTTATAATACAATCATTTCCTATAAGCTGCTTATTTTTATATTTTAAACCATAATATCTTTAAATGATAATATTTATAAACTGGCTATTACAATTGGTGTTGAAAACAAGACTATTTATAATACAATCATTTCCTATAAGCTGTTTATTTTTATAATTGAAACAATAATATCTTTAAATGATGATATTTATAAACTGGTTATTGCAATTGGTGTTGAAAACAAGTCTATTTATAATACAATCATTTCCTATAAGCTGTTTATTTTTATATTTTAAACCATAATATCTTTAAGTGATGATATTTATAAACTGTTTGGTTATATTTGTAACATTTTAATTAATATCTTTATAGAATAGTGTTTAAAATGGGTTTTGTTATTTTATTAACCTATATCTTTATTGAATGAGGTTTATGAACTGGGCATTATAAACCGAATTGAACATACTTTTGAAATATCCACTCGTTGTCCAGGTACCAATTTCTTTCGGTTCTTCATCTGGGGAAAATAAATACAAGAAACACAACAAACATTGGTTAAGCTACACGTGTGATATTACACGTTCAACAAAGTTATAGCGTGTCCTACCCCGTGCACGAAACCCACTGCCTATAGTTTGGATCTGGATTACAGATGTCGCATCTACTGAGTAGATGGTAATCTCGGAGTCATCAAACCACAAACACAATTCCAGTGGATTAAATAGCACATCAATGATGTATGATCACTATTTCGCTGTTGAAACTCATTATAGACAATTTATTGGACAAATTTCAGTTAATTGATAAAGTGCTGCGCTTTTGACAAGATGAAATGAAATACATGTAGGTTTAATGAAGACGGGCTTTGGACAGTTGTGTTTTAAATTTGTAAATATGTAACGTTTCAGTATATTTATATACTGTTGGAACGTTTCCAGCATTATGTTTTCTACAAAAACGGCAATACTTCCACGTCTCGTGTATTCTTGAAACAAATGAAATTGGTTTTAACATCTTACTTTCCGATACCGACTGGGTTAGGGAGCAACGGTGGCTCAGAGGTGCAGGAAGGAGGACCTGGCAAGAACAGCTGTCTAGTCCTTCGGACACTTGGGATTCCATATAAGAGTAGGCCATAGTGCCGTTGCCCGGGCAAAATACCCCTCGTAGCACACTTTATAGCGTATACCCGTCTTCATTAGCTCAGCCGGAGGAAAACAGTGGGACTTTAAACCCCCATTTCATATCATTTCCGACTGGACTAAGAAAGATGGGATACATGTTCGATATACAATTATATTTTACTCTCTATAACACTTACTATTCATTTGAAACGTTCGGATCACGTGGCTAAGTGGGTAAGACGCTGGCTCGCTAGCCTGGAGGTCGGGTGTTCGATCCCTGCATTGGCCGAGAAAGTTCATCCAGATTTTCCGGCGTGGTTTTCCCTTGTCAGTGACGCAGGACAGCTGTCTAGTCGATTGGATGGTACGAAAAACCGAGGTCAGGTGTACATATTGGCGTGCACGTAAAAGATCCCTTTGCAGTTGGAATTCGATATAAGAGTAGGCCGTAGCGCCGCTGCCCGGGCAAAATTTCCTCATAGCACACTGTATGGCGTATGCCCGTCTTCATTAGCCCAGTTTAGGAGCAGAACAGTAGGACGTTAAACCCCATTTCATTTCATTTTTGAAGCGTTCGCGTATCACATTTCCTTACATTAGGTCACAGAGAAGAGTACTATATAGCAATGGCATTTAAATCATGTCGTATTTTTGTTCCCACGTTTCGAGATTAGCTTACCTTTTAATTTAAGGTATACTTTTGCCGAGCTTATTTCGTGGTCATCAAAGGCTAAATAACAGACATATGTTAAATTATAATCACTTGGTATTGGCTTGAGTAATGTTAGATTTATCTCCCCTTGTATACTTTCTGATGCATTGCGCCATTGGTGATGGTTTTAGAAAACAAAAGTCTCTATCGGAAATCCACCATTATGATATCTTGGTTCTTATGCCAAGAGCGCATAATTTGCATCTTTAAAAAATGAAAGCTTACCTTTTAATTTAAGGTATACTTTTGCCGAGCCTAGTTCGTAGTCATCAAAGGCTAAATAACAGACATATGTTAAATCATAATCACTTGGTATTGTCTTGAGTAATGTTAGATTTATCTCCCCTTGTATACTTTGTGACGCATTGGTAATGGTTTTAGAAAACAAAAGTCTCTTCCGGAAATCCACCATTATAATATCTTGGTTCTTATGCCAATAGCGCATATTTTGCATCTTTAAAAAAATTAAAAAGGAGACAATTAAAGAAAACAAGAGCAAGCCATTATTGCTTTAAAAGCATCGCATTTCTGAGTTGTAACATGACAAAATAAAGGACTGATTTTTTTTGTGGTGGGGGGAGGAGTGTAAAGTGACGAGTATCAAATATCAACCCCGATTAAATGAGATGGGGTTTAACATACTACTGCTCTGCTCCGACTGGTTGGCTGTGTATTTTTTTTTGCCTACAATAATGAAGAAGATTGTTTTGTAACCTCACCTCTTTATTTGACATGTTATATCTTGTAATATTAATTGTAGTTGGTAGATGGCTATATTTATAGTACCATACAAAATAAATATCGTCACTTAGGTCGCCTCTGATTTCTGGTGTCGAGGTGTAGACACGCGGGGCTGAAATAATGGGTCTAAATAATAATTAGTACGCTAATTAGTGATTTTCCTAAATCCAGATAATAATGAGTGGAATTCTGAAATAATCGAGTAACAGTAATATCATAAATGCGGGAAGGATAAAGCAAACTCTGCCTAGTGTGCGATTCTTGCTACAACTTAAAATAGGCCTACATATGAAGAGTCCAGGGGAAGAACGATCTAAGTCACATTTTTGTCTTTTCACATAGAAGGCAAAACAGACTTTTGGACGAGAATGTTTGATGCGAACATAATAACGAATGGGTTTAATTACAACTTCAAAATGATGTTAAATACGAATAATGACGAGTACAACAACTGACTTCCACTTTTCAGCCAATTTAAGGTCAAATAAAGGGTACGATGGACGTATTTGTCCGGGATGCCATTTCAGAAGGGCGTTGGTTCGATGTGACTTTGATCGTTTTTACCTGAAATTGATTGTTCCACAGACAGCTAATACAATTTGCTACCAGATGGCGCCATTACATGAGGTTCGTTGAAAAAGTGACTTAGATCGTTTTTCCCCGGGGCTCTTCATATAGATATTGAAGAATTATCACATCATCTTCTGAAAAGGACACATTTGTCTCAAACATAATCAAAGGTAGGGTATCAACTCTCCCTGAAAATGTCTGTACGCTCTGTCCCGTGTGTTGGTTGGTATACAGTTATCTATACGCTTTGTAATCTGAAAGAAACAAATCTTCACATCTATATACATTTATAAAGAAGTCATAAATATCGGTGCGAATGTGGTGCCCAAGACAAATTAACTGCCAGAATGTTTTGTTAAGATTTATCATCCATAATGTATTAATATTTTTACTCTTAATATTCTTATGTACAGAATATGTATAACCACAATTACGCCTCTAAGTGTACCAGAATTAATGATTATCTTTACGGTTGTTTTGTTTTATTTAATTACTAACCTTCCAGAAGTTTAATCGACTGTGCATGTTTGGTACATGTTTGAGTAAAATCTATTTTGATGTTGTATGTATATTTAAAGTCATCAACAGTTGTATTGTGTATCGCCAGCATTACTTTTTCTGTATCGCCATTTTCAATCGCTGTTTTATAAAATCCAAGCCTTCGATCGTCTCGTGTATACCTCAGAATATCATGTTCCCATTTACCAAGACGTTCTGTCTGTGTCTACAAAAACAATCATACCAATAATAACCCTTATTTTACTGAACGAAATTAAAGGAGAAACAATATGAAAGTCATAATTATTATTAACACCACTATTAACTTGTCACTGAATTGAGTAACAGACACACATTTAAAAGCGGGAGGGAGGGGGGGGTAGCTTTGGCGAAGTATTTAACGCATAGTGCGTCGCACACCTAACAAGAGCTTGGGTTTCCAAGTGTTCTAACGCGTACTCTTTAATCACCAGGAATATTGCTTTTTAATTGTCACGCAATAACGCATATGCTCAAATGAAATTAATATATATATAATAACTTACGATTGAAGACACTCGTCTGTAAACTGAAATATTTTTATCATAATAATCAGTAACATATTTCCACGTCATTGTTACATCATCTCCAACATAAAGTTTCTCTGCTGGTGAACTATCCACCCACTGAAAATCTTTAAATTCAATAGTAATTCGATATTAAATATTGCCAAATTTAGCATTAGACTGTATGATAAGCTAGGAGAAGTGAACATCTAAACCAGTGTGGCTAGTGGGTTTGGGGCCAACACTCGTTTTTCTTGTTCACTGAAGGAGAAAACAAACGAAATGAAATGGGGTTTAACGTCCTGCTGTTTAGAAAACAAACAACGTACCATTAAACGGATGACGAAAAAATCATATCAGCTGTGTGCAGTGAGATGTCCCGGAAGGAATAAGTACACCATGACCTATTTCAGACACCTTTTAAGGCTTCTAGCTCTGTGGTCACAACTAGTAACAACTTGTGGAAAATGTAATGTCCCAAAGAATTACTTCAACTGTGCGTTTCGAAATCAAAAACACAGCTTTGTGTTTACGCAGTGTGTGTGTCGGTGTGTGTGTGTGTGTGTGTGCAATGGAAATCAGTATCAGAAGAATCACAGTCGGGGAATGAACCAATAACTACCTTTGACAGAGAGATGCAGATCTGCGAATTCATCAGTGAAATTTATTCTACACCTGTAGACACCGTCATCAGTTTTTGCTGCGTTCTTTATAGTAAGAATTATTTTTTCTGTTTGTCTTCCCTTTATCTGGTACTTTTTGCTTCCACCACTAATACCCCTTTCGTTCGCTGCAACCTTTAATAGAGATATAAACGTGTCTATGGCTACGTGCTGCGAACATATTCTAATCGTTATTTTCAGTTTGCAATGGGTGAGGATAACAGTAAGTATTGTTAAACATGAAGTAAGTATTTTTTAACATAAAGTAAGTATAGTGTAATCGTATTGTCATATTGCAATGGGTGAAGATAAAAGTAAGTATTATTTAACATAAAGTAAGTATAGTGTAATCGTATTGTCATATTGCAACGGCTGGGGATAAAAGTAAGTATAGTGTAATCTTATTTTGATATTGCACTGGGTGAGGATAAAAGTAAGTATTGTTAAACATAAAGTAAGTATAGTGTAATCTTATTTTCATTTGCTTCATTATTTTTCAGATTTCGTGTGCTCTATAAACCTGTGATGCCCTTAATCCTGAGTATTTTATTTGTTTTGTAATAATTTGTTAACATTACTTACATTTAATGATTTGTGAAATACAGTGTTGCATTCTCGTCATTAATGTAATAAACTATAACACAAACTTAGGGAAAACAGCTTCGTATTTATTTGGGCGACGTTTCGAAGGCCATTCTCGCAACGTTATCAAGCTAATGGCGCAATAAAGCCCGTTTGGTGCTGAGGTACCATAAAACAAAATTGCATTTCGTTTGTTATTCTATGCTGTACCACGTTTTATATTGGTGAAAATGTATTGTATGCATTTTAGTATACAAGCCATGTGTGTTTCTTGTGCGGTAGGTATATCTAACATAAAATGTTTTTATTCGATGCGGCATTTTAATTTAAAAGTCCCGATGCGCCATTTGCATTTTCGCTAAAATATCAAAAATTTCTCACGACTTAATCGACGGCTAATATGTACTCAGATTGATTATTTAACATTTAATAAGAAATCAAAATCAAAATATCGACGCTGGATAAACCTAACAGGTTTCTCCGCTACCGATAGAAGATGGCAGGGTCTTTTTACGCTCGAGTAGCGTAGATCGAGGAAATTCCAATTCCACGTGTCTTTGTAAATGGTGAACGGAACTGAACTGATGTTCCTATTAGATTCGACTTTCCCAATATCGTAGTTTGCGAGGGACTCACATTGCTTTAAATGGCACATCGGAACATTAATTGAGGCCTACCTTATAAATGGAAACATCGTTTTTTTGTATGTGTAGCTTCCAAACCAACTCCACACTACAACCAACAATAACACTTCTATTCTTGGTTCCAGATATCCATTTTCTCAAAAACATGGCACCTATAATGGAAATACAGTCAGAATAAAAGACAGACAAGGTAATGAATATCAGACAGGATTTATGTGAAACTGTATTTCAATGCTGCATATCTAGGTTGAAGGTGACGTAAAACACGCCGATTTACAACAAAGCTTGTTGGGAGTTCAATTATTTGCAGCGAGTAGTGGTTGGGTGGCTGAATGGTTAACTCGTGTGCGTTGCATCATGATGTCTGTCATTGAGTTCAGTGGCGCGGTTTCGATTCCTCGTGTGTACATGACAAAGAGTAGGGTCGCCTGTCCAACCTCGTGGATTTTTCTCTGGGTCCCACGGTCTCCTCCGACATCCAGAGATTCATATGCGAGAGCAAATTATAGAAATAAGAATTGAACCATATTGACCTCTCTCTCTCTCTCTCTCTCTCTCTCAAATTGAGACATTTTCGTCAATTCATTGAGATGATACAGACATTGAATTTGTGGTTCAATTTCAGGTTGAATTTACGATGAGTACAAATTTGTGGTTTTCTGGAAATTCAGCAAACTGTGGTGTAAAATGTCGTGCTGTCTCAATTTTCAATAATTAGGTGAATCGAGTGTTGATGTATAAATTAATTATATTTGTTCGTTGCAAAATATATTTGATCATAACAATGATCAGTAATAGCAAGGCTATATGACGTCATTGAATCGGTAACGGTCTGCTTATTATATTACTAATTCTCTATCTGTTAGTATAGACTGCGTCTACATTGGCATCACTTATCGACTAGTCTTGCCCGGGGTGTAGAGAGAGAGAGAGAGAGAGAGAGAGAGAGAGATGGTTGACAATTTGGGGTTGGGCGATCGAGGCTATATTACCGGGTAAAAAGCTGAAAATGATCACTATTGTCTGACAAATGAAAGGTGGTTTAACGTCTTGCTGTTGTACACAGCAGAGATTGAGAGAGAAAGGGGTTTAACGTCCACTCGACACAAACTAGGTCATTTCGGGACTAACATATTGTTTAATTTTATTTCAATAATTCGCTTGCGCGAAGGGTCTTTAGCAGTGTGGGGAAACCACAGGACCTGGAGAAAACCCACGAGGTTTGACAGGCGACCCTACTGCTTGTCACGTACAACTGGGGATTCGAAACCACGAGTGTAGAGGGTGATAAAAATATACATCTCTGTTATGTATTGTTTAATGGTCGAGAGCGAGACATTAAGTAATATATTGTAACAACATGAGGGCCGTGAGGCCCGAATGTTTTTACAATATATTACGCAATGTCTTAAGCTCGAGACCATTAAACAACTTAAAATACAGACACTTGCACGTGCTTTGCAATGAAATACGTCACTCGAGTTCAATATTTTACCAAGTTACGCTTGGCACATTGCCCGTACGATTATTTGAAATAATGGTACTCCATCATCAAAGGATGACGTCACATCTGTATTTTAAATTGATTTAATTTGTCTTGTTAAACTCACCATATGTTTGGCGCAATATATCCCGGTTGGAGCTGACGTGTCATTAAACAACATTTCATTTCATTTCATTTGGTAACCATATTATAACAGAGTGTCACAGATAAATTCCATCTATCATGTCAGTATAACAAAGGCAATATGACAGATAAAGTCTGACTGATAAACAGAAAATACCTTGACATATGACTACTACAAATCCTAGGTTAACATCTATGCATATACGTATCGCATTGGCTTTTACATCTCATTTCTATAAGGATGTAAACAAAAACAAATGATTGGGGTCACGTGACATACTACTTGGCGGCGAGTGGGTTTTATGCATAACTAACCACGTCACGAACAAATTGCATACAAATTACACTGTGAGGATGATGGCTTATACAATAAAATATAACAAAAGATATAATGATACCTGTATCCCTTACGCAAATGAAGTGACGATACCACCCACATGAAGTGTGAATGATACTACACAAACCCAACTATTTTTGCGTAGAATACGGTGCAGTGTGGTAATCAGTCCGCCGTTGGGGCATTTTCGAGATATTCGGAGTCAAATGACGTGATTTACACTGAAAGTTAATACGCAACCATTCTTGTATCATGAAAACATGCTGAAAAGGATCGAAACTAATCACTATTTCAAACAAAGATATAAACTTGATAAATTCAACTTTATTCTTTGTGACCACGGAGGTCAAATGGTCAAGTTTTCCGTTTTTGCACGAGGAAGATTTAACGCAATACACGTCAGCGTAAAATATAAAAACTAAAGAGGAACGTTAGAATTTATCTTGAGGGGGTTTTAGCACCATAAGTTTACTTTGGAATGTCGAAAAAGACATCGAAACCCGTTTCAAAATACGTATAAACTGTCAAATTGAAATCTCTCCGATTTAGTTTCACAACGATTGCTATACATAATGAAACTAGTTGCCCGAAAAAACAATTGAATAGCTTCATGGTTGGACTAAAGCCTGCAGGCCGCGTGGATTTCCGGGAATCCAAATCTTGGAAAACCGATGTTAATCTGACGACATGATTAAAAGTTTGGATATGAGTGCAGATTCAACAAAAGTGGACTCGCCCCGAAGACAATCTTAAAGTTGATGACATAGTTTTGATTAAAGACGATAATCGGCCAAGAAATAATTGGAAGGTAACTCGTATTCACGAAGTGTATACCAGTTCTGATGGTCTAGTTTGATCTCTGGGGGGTTGGATGGTCGAATGGTTAGCACGTGCGCGCTGTATCATAAGACCAATCATTGAGTCAACTGGCGTGGTTTCGAATCCCCGGTTGTACGTGACAAGGAGTACGGTCGCCTGTCCAACCTCGTGGTTTTTCTCCGGGTCCTCTGGTTTCCTCCCACTGCTAAAGACCCCTACGCGCAAGCGAATTATTGAAATAAAATTAAGCCATGTTAGTCCCGAAATGACCTAGTTTGTATCGAGTGGACGTTAAACCCTCTCTCACTCTCTCTCTCTCTCTCTCGTTCGATCTGTTAAACAAGCTATTGGAGACATCTCAATAGATAAGGATGGAAAACGTGTAGAACCCACAACTTTCATGGAATACCTATCCACAAATTGGTATTGATATTATCCAGTTAAATTAAGCCTGTATGTATATTCACGAAAGTCAATACAACCTATTTATATTAAAGGCCACATGAATGGTATTGTATATCACATTAATAGTGATAAACGTTGACAAACATTTGCCAGTTGATTGTAAATATGTGTATCTAATTTGTGTATCACTAGTAAATATATATACACTCTTCAAAAAAAAGTAGGGGATATTCAGAAACAATACAAAACTGCGGAAACGTACTGCTGTTTTTATTATAGTTAACCAGTGTATGTTAATAACAGGCCATTTGCTTACACATGAACATAAACAGTTCATATGGGCGGCTTATCTGCGGCCCCATTTCACTCGCAAAGAGATACACCGTCAAAAGTGAAAATGGTCGTTTTTGATTTTTGTCTTAATAATGAGTAATTGCTCCACCAATCCTCAGATATTCAGCATTTCGTCGTGGCATGCTCCTAATCAACCGTCCAATCACGATTTGGGGCAATCTGACCCACTCCTCTTGCAGTGCCACGGCCAATTCTTGCAGTGTTGTCGGTTGACGTTGACGTCGACGAACACTTCTCCCGATCAAATTAAACGTAACATGCGCTAAAGAGTAAATCTTATGCAAGAGCCGATAGGAAAGCAACCACGGATAAATAAACCAGCACGCGGCAGTTTTCATGAACCCTTCCTTGAAGTGTCAAATTTGACAATGAATCCCTCCCACGTGTATGGCGCTATTGCGTGTCGCATGTGCAGCTCAGTCCCTAGCATGTCAAATGTCCATGACTATTTATCATATCGCAAACTGCATAGGTATTTGCATTTCAATATCCCCTAATTTTTTTGAAGAGTATATATTAAAGCATGTGTGATAGAATATGGTGATACTTAAAGTGGCTAAAGCCTTAACTTTACATCATCCAAAGTCTTCGACATTGAAAACACGAATTATTTGTCAGTTTAATTCAACATGGATGTTGTAATCTTACCGGGAAACGATGGGTTTCTGATATCCAATATTTAAGACAAAATAAACATTTTACCATTGGTACACGAATCGTTTACCATAATGTGTTTCAGCGTCATTTGTAACAAGGGATTCGAAGAACGAGGCAAGACATAATCCATAAGCCATGTTATAGTCCGGTGTCTGGAGGGGGGGGGGAATCGCCACCCGATCTGTGAATTTATGAGACCAAGATTTTCTAGACCAGGTTTTTGCGTAGATTCCCAATCTGGGTGGTGATCACGCGTTTGAGGGGGGTCTTCGAGTTATGGGGCGTCCACTGTCTACAGTTGAGGAAAAATGTGATTATGTTGACATAAATGATGACCATGTTTTATATTAATAAAACATAAATTTCTAGGACTGTCCATCTGTAAATAAGTGTTTATGATGCCCCTGGACAACTCTTTTGATTTGTGGCGAGGTGAAGTGGGTGGTTGCAGGTTTGCGTGTGTGGAGAGGGGAGCGGTGGGGGGGGGGTAAAATTGGCGGGAAATGAGCTAACGTCGATTTAAATGATGATTTTCTTAGAGCTTGATGAAACATCTCTAAAACACCATTTTGTTATTAACAATCTTGACGAACAATTTCAATCAGCATACAAGAAAGGTCACAGCACTGAAACAGCGCTGCTGAGAGTACATGTATATAACGATATTGTTACTAACATAGATAATAAAAAGTTTGTCGTATTACTGTTACTAGACTTAAGTGCCGCGTTTGATACTATTGATCATGATATTCTATTAAACCGGTTACAAACACGTTTTGGCGTTAACGAACTATGTTTAAAATGGATACGCTCTTATAAATCAGACAGGACACAGTATGTAGTCGTTGATAAAGCAGCATCGTCTCCCAAAACCCTATGCTTTGGAGTTCCGCAAGGGTCGCTTCTTGGTCTTCTTTTATTCACTGCCTACACAACACCAATTGGCGAT